TCATCTTTTCACGGTGTATAATTTACCTTTTCATCATTACTGTTTCATTAGAAACACCGACGCAGCTCACACTAGTTTTTAGCTAGTTATACCTCTTTTTTAGGTGTTTGATATATTTTTTTGACTATTATCACTGCATAATAACCCTACCCCCCCCCCCCCAAGGCTGCTTCACTACTACTTAAATTGTTCTGCTACTATTGCTGCTTCTGCTGTACTGCATTATGCATTGTGGATGTACTTATCATTTCAAAAGGTCTTTGCCTACATTTTTTTCCTAGATACATTTAGTAATGTTGTTATTTATACAATTATTTTGTAGAGAGACATGGGAGAAACAATGACCAACAATTCACAGGTAGTCAAGATATTGGATGATAATAGATTAATATTCCTTTTTGATAGAGGCTTTGCATCATCACATGATGGCAGCCATGACAGGAGGCACAACAATAGATTCTATTTCCCCCTGGAAACCTAATCCTTTGTCATGTAAACCACATCCAGTCCTTCCTGCCTCCTGTCATGGCTGCATCTTGCGTGTTGGACTGGCCTGGAGTAAACACAAGTCTGATGCTCTACCAACTAAGCATTGCAATTTACTCTGTAACTTGTCTCTCAAGGCAATTGTGAGACAAGTTGCTGGAAAAGTGCAACAGGAGTTGTCTCGAGTAGTGTTGCACTCTCGTTGGTAATGCCAATGCACAGTGTACAGTAAAGTAAAGTAAAGTACCTATATTTAACGTCGGTAGTTCCTTCAGTTGAAATTCGGATAATTCGGATTTATCCGTATTACCCCTCCAACGACTTTTCTTGCAATTTTAAGGCATACTTTTCATGCCAAATAYCATTGCAAGTTCTCCCCAGCCTAACCCAGCCAAAAAAATTTTGCAAGTTTCTGAGAYCATGTTGCAGTGGACGTACATGTAMCACCTCACCTTGGCAACTTGCCATGCTACATTTTCAAGCATTACAAAATAAGCTGCTGAGAAAATTGCMCAGTGTAACAGGACCTTGAGTCARCCAAGTGGCTGGTTTTGAAAACAATCTGTATCACTAGTTATAGTCAAAACGTCATGTTCTCAAAAAATCTATGCGTTTTATCTGTAATCTTACATTTAAAATCTTTGGTTGAGCAATTAACATTTTTTCTTTCATTTTTAGTCCTTTCAAATGATGAAAAGTACGACGCTTTCATTTGCTACGCACGTCAAGACATTGGGTTTGCAAAGGAAATCTTAAAAAGGTTGGAATCAGAACCTTACCATTTGAAATTATGCATTGACTACAGAGACATTCTTCCTGGGGGAGGAAACTTGAGCACAGTTGCACACATCATTGAGGAAAGATGTCAGAAGATTGTGGTGATATTGTCAGAATTTTTCAATAATGACGAAAGTGCTGACTTCCAGGCAAAGATAGCTTTGAGCTTGTCCCCAGGTGAGTTCCTTTTCTTAAAGTTAAAATTTCATTTTATGAAAATTTATTTTGAAGTTTACATCAATGTCCAAGATATTGCAGGTGAAATTCAGTCTAGATGTTTATGTAGATGTAGATGCAAGCTTGTAGATAGATACAGGCCCTGCTAGCTAGTAGAAGGGCTATTTCATCTTTATTTTTAAGTCTTTAGTGCTTTATTGGCTTTAACTTGTTTTTGTTGTCAGCTGAATATTACAAAGGAACATAGGCCTCTGCATTTTGGATGAGAAATAAAAAATAAAAAATTTGACTTAAAAAAATAAGAAATGAAATAAAACCATTTCCCCTTCTTCCCAAACTCTGTACTTCTCTCAAACAGTCTAAGCCTTATAACTGGAATATTACTATAACTGGGATATTACTGTATGTGTGTTATCCCAGAAGCTGTCATCCTTGCAACCAGCTGAGTTTTCCTCTTGAAACTATTGATTTTCAGGCCACCAAATGAAAAAAATAACGTTGCTAATAAGAGGTTGATAACAGTATCACAATAACTAATGAGTTTATATATTTTCTATTCCAATAATGAACAGGTTTTTTATTTTTTGCTGATCAATTTTCACAGATAGAATCTTTATTGCTCTTTACGTTCGCGATACATATAAAAATTGAAGGTTACTTTATAAATAGAGAAAGGTTACTATGTAGACGATAAGCCTGAGAGCTAGATAAACTGCTAGGTTTTTGAGCTAGCTCCCAGTATTTTGTTGCCATTTTGTAGTTTAAGAGCGTAATTTAGTATTTGACATGTATATTAAGAAAAAAATATACTAAAGAACTAATAATATATATAACAAATAAATATGAAAGTAACTAGTAACAGGCTTCATAACTCCCAGTTTTGCAGTGACCTCATTTCTACGTCACTATTTCAGATCATCTGGTAGCTCAAATTATTTCTTATACCATTTTTGTTTGTTCCAGGTTGTAAAAATAAGCGTCTTATTCCAATCAAGTATGAACAGTGCAAGATTCCAACCATTTACAGATTTATCACCCACTTAGATTACACCAATGAAAACGCTAGAGAATATCTGTGGCCCAATTTAGCAAGGGCTTTAGGCTACGCTCCTAGGTAGTTATCTTTAAATTAATAGTTTTTATAGGATTTGGACAGTGCTCACTGATTTGAAAATATAGTGATTTTGTTTTAGGCTGTACATATACTCTTTAAAAGTTGCCTGCTAGTTTTTTTTGTTTTCTTTTTTTTTTTTGTATAAATTTGTGCCATTGCATTATTATTGGTATCCTTTATAATCATTTTGCTCAGCTATATAGATAGTTAATTTGCCAAGTAGAACAATATGCGATATTCTTACTTACATTGGCAAAGCATTTCTCTAAACAAACCAAGTTTGTCATTGAATCAAAGTTCTTGAAATAACCTCTGGACTGATCCAAATCAGGGCGTGGACTGATCTAAATCAGACCGCTTGTTATTCTCTTAATATTAAGATTATTTGTATGAGTTTGAATCCATATTCATGTGTCTTTTGATCATGCACAGCCAGTAATACCACTTTCTAAAAGTGTATATTTTTGCTCTTCTAGTTACAGTCAAAACGGCTTGATCTTACCCCCCCCCCCCAGTTCCATTATTGGTTTCATTATTTGAATATTGAAATTTATTATTCGTTCTGAGAATACAAAGATGCAGGATTTAGAAATAATAACCAATTCGAAACTCAACATAACACCATAATCCAATCAGAATTGAGTTTTGAAAGGGTTATTATTTTGAATCGCAAGTCTCCGTATTCTCAGAAAGAAAAATTAAAAATTTGAATAATGACACCATTAATGATATCTAGGAGGGTAAGCTTGAGCCGTTTTGACTGTAAGAAAGATTACAGCATTAGTTTGTTGCTTCTTTTTTAGTGGGCCAGAATTGATTCAAATACTTTTTATGATGAAATCTGTGTGGCCGGCCCTCATGTAAAGAAAATTCATACCAATATCATTCTGAAAGACAAATATATTTCACATAAATTAAGTAGATATATATTATAAAATAGACAGAAATAGTACTAATAAAATTAGTAAATATAATATTAAGTTTCAAGTGCTGATCCCAAGCTTAGAGAAGCTGGAGTTGTTGTATTGTGTGGATCTTGAAAATACCCCACCATAATGGAGAAAATTTTGAAAAAAGCCCCACCACACTGGAATTTCCATTTTTTTTTTAATACAAAACTTGTCATTTTGTTCTTTCTCTGACCCCCCTGCCCTCCACCCCCTGGGAATTTCCTATTTCATCCATGGTGGGGCATGGATATTTTCTTGAACAAATGTATGCAGGGGTGGATCCAGGGGAGGGGTGCAGGGGGTGCGCACCCCTCCCTGGTTTGACTTTGTGCCCTACTTTGAACAGATAACCAATACTTTTTTCCTTTTGATTCTAAGGGGTGCACCCCTCCATGAGTTAATCCCTGGTATGCAACTGCCGTATAACATTACAGCTRCACCTCACTGCACTGCATGTTGCTTACATTATACACTACCAATTTTGTAAAAAATTATTTTTTGTCATGCAGTAATGTTTTCTTTACTCTTTGGAAATGGATGATTATTTCTACCTATAGAAATGCACTAATTAATGCCAAAATATGCCACAGTACACCACTGACAGAGACATTTGAAGTTGCTGAGCCACTACCTCACAGACTTCAGACATGACAAAGGCAACAGACCAAATCCACTTGGGTGTGAATGTTTTCTCATTTCAGATCACATGTTGTACCCTTGAGAAATAGGCCTTTTGTTTGAGTCATATCCATATTTCTGTGTCTTCTCATGTCCAACCATTCAACAAAGAAATGATACTCTAGGGAATGACACTTGATCTGAATTGGGAAAACATTACGCCCAAGTGGATTTGGCAGTATTTTGGCCTCTGCCCTCTCTGTGGGGGTAAAATACAGGATAATGTTCTATACTCCTGAGGACATCATGGGAGAGACCAACTGGCCACCTAACCAAATCTGATGTTAGATCAAGATTTAAAAGGAGAATAAGTGAATTCCATACTCACTTAAAATATCTAGCTTCCCATTTTCACTGGCTATTCTTCGTTTGCAGTAGACATCATAGCCGCCATGTTGGAAGAATTTGACAAAAAATTTTTCAATGAATTCTTTTGTTATATCTTCCAACATGGCAGACATCCCTTTTGTTATTGTGATCTCTTGGGTTGATTGCAAACCAAGAATAAATACCAGTGCCCATCTAAATCCCATTTTCTTATACCTATCCTGTTTTCCTGGATATTAGAAATATATACCCTAAATAACCTTCAAAACTCGGTTAAACTGCATAAAGGAGTTTGAAATAATTCTATTTATGTTTTTCCAAATAGAATACGGCATATATATTCTAAATCCCCATACATTCTCTTATGAATGTTTTGAAATTGGGTTGCCTGTGGTTGATGCATCCGAGGCCCATATAGGGCCACTTTTGTTTGGTACTCTCACACAACGGACATCAAGGGACATTTTCACGTTACTGTTCTTTTATAAAGATTCAGGGGGAAGAACGTGTTTACAGAAGACCATAAGAGAGGCTTTACGATTTTTTTAAAATGCTATCCAGGACAAAATCAGGCATTCATTGCCTGCAGAAGCTTTCTCCAGCTGTCTTGAACGTGTTGGTCAGAGCAAAGCACACACTACCTGATTTACCGTACGATTACGATGCCCTTGAGCCGACCATCAATACAGATATTATGCGTCTCCATCACAGCAAGCACCATCAGACTTATGTGAATAACCTGAATGTTGCTGAGGAAAAATACGCCGAAGCACAGGCTAAAGGTGAACTTATGCTTGCTAGTTAGCTGCTGTTTGTGTTCTAGCTTTTGAGGATTTTATTTGTTAGAACCACGTTTGATAAAATAAGCCAGCTCGTCTGGGTGCAGTAGGTGTATACGACAGTGTATACAACAGCCTACTTAATTGGCCAATTGTACAATGAAATATGGTTTATTGGCAATGTTCATGGAAAAATAATATTGTCTTTGGAGTCCTGAAATCTTTGTTTAGTGTTGCTGTAAACTTCTATGCAAACCTATGAGCTCTTAACTATATGGCTTAAATTTATTGTGTAGTTCCAAAAACTATCCATACCCACTCCACAGAGGAATGTGGAATTTTCGAAGGGTGGGGGGGGGGGGGGGGGGGGGGGATATGGATATGGATATGGAACTACACATTAGATAATATATGAAATGAAATAATCCATGGTAACCAAATTACATAATATGAGATAAAAAAGAGAAGGAGATCTTTGAAAAAACTGGATGGATGAGTGAAGTGAATCTTAATGGTAATATTTTCCTAGATAAACCCCCCTCCTGCCACGCCATTCCCACTTATCATCCCCCCATAACGTCCCCCCTTACCATCCACCTCACCATCCCCCTCACCATCACCCCTCACCATCCCCAGACATGCACACACAAAAAACATAAGTCCCCCTGGATTTCTACTTTCCTCTAATATAACCTACCTCCCTGGACTAAGCCGTATTTCCTGAGAAAAGGTTATCAAACAAGATGCATTATGGTCTAGCCTGGGTACAAGCAACAGCATATAAGCCATGATGAGCAAAAGACAATTGTACCCAAGCTGGACTACAACACACTATGCTCACATACTATAGTAAAATCCACAATTTATTGTTTATTCCTCCCACATCCCGCTAGCATCTTCCAGCTAATCCTCGGGTACTCAAGCAAATTCAAAATACTGCAGGAGCTATGAGTTCCTGCTTCATGCCAACCCAATATTGTCCTAAATTGTAGAGTTATGTTACTATCTAGCTGTCTTTCTATAGGTGATTTGGATTCAGCCATCGCACTACAGCCAGCTTTGAAATTCAATGGTGGTGGACACTTGAATCATACGATATTCTGGACCAATTTATCACCCAATGGAGGTGGAGAACCTACAGGTAGGCCCACAGAAACTTGGGCATTTGGTATATAACAATAGTTATTTTTATCATATTCATCTAATTAATGTAAACCCATTGAGATCCATTATGTTGCATATTTCTTAGAATGATTTATTATTATAATTATTCCTATCATTTACGATTTATGATACTTTCCCCATGAGGGCAGGGACACTACAACAGCGTTTCCGATAACTGTGGGCCCAGTAGTGTTAGCATGGACACTAAAGATGGTCATCACCGTCTTTAGTGGGTTTTTTACGGGTCTACGGCCTACAGTTTTAGGTCCTTGTCTGAGAAGACTTGAAGGTCCAACCATTTGTACATAGATGTAATTACAAAGGCAGCACCATTTATCATCATCATTATATTAATTATTATTATAATCATATAAGCATTCCATAAATACATAATTTGGGATATGTCTGAGTTTTGAACTTGTATTTTTAAACTCATTAATAATGTATGAGGAAAACACAACAGAAATCACGACCGTGAAGAGTTTTGTAAATCAGATACAGAATCCTGTTCATTTGCATAAACTTTAAGATGGATTTTCTTGCCCAGATTCACTTTTATCTTGAAAATTTTAGTGAAACACAAACTCGAGTTTGTATATCGGATACAACACGGCCACTCATACTGTATATATTACGTTCTCTTGGCCAGGTGATCTGATGGAAGCAATCAAGAAAGACTTTGGCTCATTTGAAAATTTTAAAGAAAGATTTAATGCCGCTACTATAGCTGTTCAGGGTTCAGGTTGGGGATGGCTGGTGAGTGGCTTCACATTAATTTGTTGTATTCGACACACCCATTCAGTCCTAAATGAATACCAGTTGTTTCGTTACAGTCAAACCAGGTCAAGTGTACCCCCCAAGAATACATTATTCATTTGATTATATGATTATTTGAAGCATTATTTGTTATGCATTTCCTTTGAAAATATGTAAACAAATATTCAAAACATTATTTGATTACTGATTGGTTCAAACAAACGATTGCCTTTCTGACAAGTTGACACCATTAATTCACTTCTCGATCAACTTCATACAAAGCATTTGTGATGCTGTAATTTTGATCCATGTTATTGTAAAACTACTTTTCAACATGTTATCTCATGTTATTTCTTTGTAATATAATGTTATGACTTGAATATAGACATGTTTATGTAATGACAACTCCACACTCAACTACCACATTTAAAGGGGCAATTGGATGAAAATGGATAAAATTGGAAATGACTTGAAACTTGGTTAAACTTATCTATATGGCCCAGATAGTAGCCAAGCAACATGTTTCCTTCACAGTCAAAAGTGACGGGAAAAAATTATCAATTTTATTCAGCATCTAAATTGTGAGTAAATGACGTCATTTACTCAACCCTATTGTTCTTTTCTCTTTTAACCCAAAATTTCTCAACTGCAAGTGGCTCCCGGGCTAAAATTTTCACTAATCTGGTTTACATACTCAAATTATCCACAGATACTTCAATTATTCGGACTTTGAAAAATTGTGGCGTTTTCATCCAAGTGCCCCTTTAATGTATTCTAGAGTGATTTCACTTTGCCTGTGAAACAAAATTATTGTTTAGTGACTAACAGTCAAAGTATGACAATATTAAATGCTCAACTTCGTATATCATTGCCAGGGCTACGACAAAGTTAACAAAAGACTAGCTATATCAACATGCTTAAATCAAGATCCTCTACAAGCAACCACTGGTAAATACCTTCTAGAAGTATTGTTCGTTTGCACATTACGTCATCGCGGCCATGTTGGTGCCATTTAACAAAAAAAATTTCATTAGCACCATTGTTAACAGCACCACAATGGCTGCCATGTTTTTGTCTTTGGACTCTCTTGGGAATGCTCGCAACCCATCAATTACACCCATTACCTTACAACCATATCACCATGGAAGCCAGCTCACATTCTACTCTTGAGTTTTTGGCATCTGTCATGTCAATCAAATATTTTGATTGATTGAAGCCAAATACCCAGACAGATGAATGGGATTATCTGGTTGCATAATCATGATGCCTCAGCATCACGTGAGTAGAGTTTGTTAGGTCTCCCTCTTGATTCAAGGGTTTTTCTCTGGGATCTTCAGTTTTTTTCCTTCCCAAAACCTCACATGCTAAATTACAATTTGTCAATCTGTTAGCCATCCCCTGACTTTGATCAGCCCAGCGGTAGTTTCAGGGTTCAATCTATACTTTAATCAACCCGCGGTAGTTTCAAGGTTCAATCTGTGAGTTAGCTGTGTCCTGACTGAGTTCAGCCCAGAGGGTTAGGGGTTAGGTCTGTGAGTTAGCCATACTTTAATCACCTAGCGGTAGTTTCAGGGTTCAATCTGTGAGTTAACTGTGTCCTGACTGAGTTCAGCCCAGAAGGTTAAGGGTTAGGTCTGTGAGTTAGCCATACTTTAATCACCCCAGTAGTAGTTTCAGGGTTCTATCTGTGAGTTAGCCATGCCCTGACTTAGTTCAGCCCAGAAGGTTAGGGGTTAGGTCTTTGAGTTAGCCATACTTTAATCACCCCAGTAGTAGTTTCAGGGTTCAATGTGTGAGTTCGCTGTATCCTATCTTTAATCAGCTCAGGGATTATTCCAGAATTTGGTCAAATCTTGGCTGATCATTTTATCAGATTTTCTTCCAGGGTTTGCACTACTCCTTAAACTCCTTGAAAACTCCTTGAATTTCATTCACGTTTTCAAGGGCACTTGAAAAGCTCTTGAATTTTACGATTTTAGCGAAATTCCTTGAAAACTCCTTGAATTTTTGCTTTGATCATTACTTGCATGGTTCTGAAATAGATCTAGTCAGAAAGACTGGAGAATCTGAAAGTCGGCCATGTGCAACCACTGTGTAAAACCTTGGCATAGTTAGCTGAACACACTCCTTGAAAATTCATTTTTGGGTCCTTGTATACTCCTTGAATAGTCCTTGAATTTTAAGTCATTACCTCGGCACGAACCCTGTTCTTCTATACTGTACACGACGCAAATTAATTTTAATTCTATTTTTTTCAGGTCACATTCCTCTTCTAGGCATCGACGTTTGGGAGCATGCATATTACCTTCAGTACAAGAATGTTAGACCAGATTATGTCAAGGCCATCTATGATGTCATTAACTGGACAAATGTTGCTGACCGCTATCAGGCTGCTGCTACTTGAGCAGAGAAACAATGAAATTCATGTACAAGAAGTTTGATCAGACAAATTTTATTATTCCAATATTTTTTTGGTAAAAAAGCACAACTCTTTGGAGAATTGCAAGTAATAGAACTGATCTTTTGTTAGGGTAAGCTGTACTAAAAGAATTTCCATTCCTACTTGTGGAGAAAAGAATAAGGAAATAAGTTGCACACAACACTGTGACAATGGTGTCATCGTAACAGTCTGTTTGATATTTTTGGGGAAAAATGCTATACCTGGTACTTGTATGATACCTATATAGTGTTATAATATCAATAGTTTTTGATAAGCACCAAGGTTATTTCAAATAAAGAAAATTCAGTTCAGTAGTGCAGCAGTGATATTTTACTTTATTTAAATATTGAAGTGATTTTACTTGACCCATGAAACAAAAAATTAGTTGTTAATCTGGGGGGGGGGTACTCTTACCCGTTTAGGGTAGGGATGTGCTGCTGAGCCCTCTGAACCCTGACCCTGTTCCAGAGTAATATCGCTGAAATTCATACCCTGTTCCAGAGCAAGATCGCTGAAAACCATAACCTTTTCCRGTAGAGCGAAAATAGATACCCTGTTCCAGAGAGGAGAGAGCGTGATTTCATATATCCTGTCCCAGAYTGAGCGCAGTTTTATATACCCTGTTCCAGAGTAGAATCGCTGAAAACCATACCCTGTTTGGCTGCACCTACCCATATAGCAAATATAGGGGAGTACCCCCCCCCCCCCCTGGGTTGTTAATGTGTAATATTCAAATAAGATCTACTAATAATAATTATTACTAATTTAGTAATTATTACAGTCAAAACGGCTCAATCAAATTTCTAAGAGTCTAAGATGGTATCCTTTGATTGACAGAAGCCAAAAACGCATGTGTTGGCTATAAATGAAATCACTCTTTAATATCCTGTTCCTTCAGATACTTATTTATAAGTACTTATAATTAAAATTGGTTAACAAATGCTGATTTATCACAGCACAAGATCCCTTTCACCAAGGGGTAAAAAGTAAGAGTCTACTTTTTCATTAGATACTCCTTGCAGTGTAGATGGCTTCCATCTTGGACTGTTATCCTTGTCAACCAATACTGAAAATGAAAAGTCAAAATCCTTGGTAAACATAATCATGGTTAAATACACTCGAAGTCAGAGGCTGCTTTTAACCGGGTGTTTCACTTCCAGGGGGTCAATAAGCTGTTCATGTTAGCAAGCTCTCACTTTATCATTGTTTATAGTGAGGAGGTCAAACAAAAGTGAGGAGTTTAGTAGGGGGCAAGAAAACTTAGGCATTAGAAGAACTTGGTACCAGGAACTTCATATGAATCAGAGAAGGGTGGAGGGTGCAGATAACTTTGGCATCCATACAACTAGATTCAAAATGTGTGAGTGCGTGACTATAGCTTTACACTGAAGAAGGCCTGAGATTGGACCAAAACATCTGCACAATGTCTCAAAACCCATGCACGAATTGCACGCATACCTGCTCTTATTCCTTCATAAAAGTCTTCATTTTCCTATTGATAAAATTAAAAGTAAAAATTAAAATAAGTGTCAGAGAATCTCATGCCAGTGTTGGCACTAGCTTAGGGAAGGGGGAAACAAAAAAAGTTTGCGTTCAGCACCAAATTTAATTAATTCATGCAGGATTCCTATGGATTGCGCAGGGAAATGGTACATCGCCCCTCCCCCCCTTTAAGCAAGTACTCGCTACCCCCCTGAGTGATGGCATATACAAGTTGTGTTACAAGCTAGAATGATGGAAAATTAATAAAGTATTATTGGTTTCATGGAACATTCATTGTAACTTGAATTTAACCAGCAGAAAAATTCGGCCATATAGAGTACATTCAAGTAATAAAAAGATATAACTAGCTAAAAACTAGTGTGAGCTGCGTCGGTGTTTCTRATGAAACAGTAATGATGAAAAGGTAAATTATACACCGTGAAAAGATGAAACAACTTACTGACGTTTCGGACGCTAGTCCTTCGTCGTCGTCTTTTACTCCGACGAAGGACTAGCGTCCGAAACGTCAGTAAGTTGTTTCATCTTTTCACGGTGTATAATTTACCTTTTCATCATTACTGATTCAAGTAATACTCCATTTTACAGTTCAGTTCAATGACCATGAATATTATAGTAAAGTCAAGGTTGGAGTTGCCGCACATGATAAACTAGTTTTGCTATGCAAGGAAACTCCAACCTCAACTTGGAATTATTATTAGTGATAAATTTGGAACTATTATTAGTGGTCACTGAATGGAACTGTAAGATGCGGGTATTGTCTTCATCTAAGCCTGTGAAAGCTCATACTGACCGTTATTATCATGTTACTGTAAAGTAATAAAGTTACGATATTACGATACAGTTTAAGGCATTGTATAGCATTGTATATGTACATAGTCAACACCAGTTAAATTTAATCTTATTCAATATTCAATTGTCACAAACCATAAATCTCTGAGATATTCTGTACTCCATCTGTAGACAATCTGCTAAATTCATTCTTGCTCCTTCTCGAAGTTGACGTAAGGTAACTTTACAGGACGAGGGCGACTAAAAGGAAAATAATAAAGAAATGATTGGGTACTATAATCTTCTGCTTCACTGAGATGTGGAGATTCACAGGGCCCCATTGGAGACATGGGCTCTCTAATATTATCAAAATAATAAATAAAATGTGGATGGAAAAAATTTTTTGATAGAAAAACCACTTGCTTGACAGAGTTTTTTTTACCACATGACTATAATTATCATTGTTTCTTTATTTTTTTCCCCATTCACGATAGATGAAAGTGTGCAAGGGATTCTGGTAGCTGTAGTAAACGACATTATCAAGCAAATGGTATACTTCCCATAGCTCAAATAGCCAAATATATACCTGCCCAACTCATTATGAATGCATGTAGTTTTATTGCAATGTAAGCCTTTTAAACTCACCATTTTATTGATAGTCTATTGATTGCAATGACATTATGAAATGAAAAGAAAATCAATCAATAAATCAATGGTTGTAATTCAATAAAATAAAAATTTAGTCGGTTTACAGTCAATTCGCCCACGGACCAATTCGCCCAAGCCAATTTGCCCACGTATAAAATCATCGAACATGCGTTTGCCGATTCGCCCAGGTTAAAATTACTTTAAGAGATATCTAACCGTATAATAAGACTACATAAAGTAGTCAAGGTTARCACTTTCCCATCAATAAACCTGTCAGTGATGTCTGCAGTTAAGTTTTATTATTTCCATTCTGGCAGTTTATGGTCTAGTACATGTATATATCAAGAGAAGTTTTTATCCTAGGGGACCATAGTCTTGACAATAGACCTTATTCATGGTGTGACAATGTTTTCCCAATTCAGCGTGACAAACCTCCAGGGGATTCATTTTCTTTTGTTTTTACTCTTTGAAAAATTCATGAGTATCCCAAAGGATACGAAAGGAATAACGATGATATCCCAAAGAGTTTCAAAACAATAGCTCTTCATTCCCCCAGAGGTTTGTCACACTGAATTGGGAAAACATTTGAAATACAAGAATATTCTTAGTCCCGGTCTGAGCTTCTGTCATATGGTAATATTTCCATCGCCCCTACCTCAATCTGTTTATTGGCCCACTCTGATCCATTTTTTTCTAAAGATGACATGATATCTTCTACTGTATTCTTGTCAAAACAGCTGCAATAAAAATATAATTCAATCAAATATTAGTTGGATTTTGAAATATTAGAGTACAAACACTATAAGTGTGTAGCATAAATCAAGGGCGGAACCAGGGGGGCAAAGGGGGGCTGAAGCTCCCCCCTTCAGCAGAAAAAAACGATGCTTTTTTATATTGTTTTCTGTTGTGTTGACGGAAGAAACTCAATTTGCCCCCCCTAAAATTTTGGCTGGATCCGCCCTTGTAAATACCACTAAATACTGTTAAATAAATTATGCTAATCCTATTGTTTTCTGTTGTTTAATTAGCACTATTTACTACTAAATCAAAACACGTCCCAGAAGATATAAATGAAAAAGGAAAAAAGAAAAAAGGGCCACACCCTACACTCAAAAGTTCAGAGCAGCTGAGTTCAGAGGCTCTACAAAGTAGAAATATATTGTGCAATAACTTCCAAACATGTCAATACAACTGACATCATTACAGACTGGCCATGAACAAATGACTGATCTACTGCATTCAACCTTGCTTGTTAGATCAAGATTAACTTCCATAGGACACATACAGGGGCATCTCTAAGAGCTAAGAGTGTCCAGCTGTGGTCATTATAATAATGGCCATTGCCTGCATGATGTATTTTTTTCAATAACTTTTCGGAAGATAACACTACTATTAATATAAATACAATTGTGTTGTATCACAAAATTCCATACTAACCTGTTAATTTTGTCCATGTGTTCTTGTAAAGTAAAGTTTGGGTTTTGATCTTTGGAGCACTATTTAATAGAAAAACATCCAAACGCATATAGCTATTTCAAAAAAAGGTTGAATACTGATTACTGCATACTGAATAGTGCATTCCAAGACCAAAGGGCATTGTGTGTCTCACTAATTTGAAATAAAAAGTAAATATTCAGCAATTAACTCTCTACATGTAGTTATTGTTTCAGATGGAATACACTAAAAATAGAATAAATAGTTATCATCAATCCTACTTTAGATAATGTCTCTATGACCCACAAAGCACTTTGGTCTGGGATTTGCACTATTCAGTATGCAGTATTCAGTATTCAACCTTTTTGAAATAGCTGTTTACCTATTACTGGAATTATGAACACCTGACTTTATTGTTGACTGCATAAAAACCTCTTCACGGTGAGAATAATGATTGTATATTAATATACACCTAATTGAAAAAACGTTGTTGGGTTCAAAAAAAGGTTATATCATCAAATCTAAGACTGAAGGGGAGCATGGGAAGACAAACAATTATAATAATTTCAAGCGTATTGCAGTTTTCCCTTCCTGTGCACATTTTATGCATATCTAGGTCGACCGACTTTGCTCTACTGTGCATTTTTACATGTCTATATGCAAATATAATACACATTTCGTAGTACCCAAAATTTGGGTACTTTTTGGTCTTAGCTTGATGATTTGACCTTCTCGAACCTGACTACGCTTTTTCAGTTAGGTGTATATGGTGACATTATATCATTACCTCTTTATCAAAATCATCTAATAATCCTCGTACCGTCTGCAACCTACAGTCTGATAGACCAAGTAAAGATGACTCAAGTTCTGAAAGCTGTGGTAATAATAAATAGAAATAGCATTAAAGAAATTCTTTGAAATTAACAGCTAGACAATTGTACCAGCTCACTAGATACACTGTGCTGATGAGGCCCAGCAATGCAGGCTGAAACAGCTGTCCATGGTTTCTAGTTGAGCTGGTTAATTTTTTACGGGACTTAAAGTTATTGTGAAAGGCTTGTATGGAATCCTGTTCATCGAACTTAGGAAGGTCTTATGGTGCCATTAAAGTTGTACCACGCGATCATATTATAACATTCAGATAATTATAAAGAGCCACTGAGTTAACACTTGCCTTCTCTGCTTTGACAAAATGTGTTGCAATACCAGCATGTTTGACATCATAACCTCTCAGACGAAAACCTTAAGAAAAGAGAAGCAATATTGAAACATACATTTATTTATTTGACATGCCATTGAACAATCGTCACTAATATTTTGTGACCATAGCAACCAAGCCATTGGTCATCCCTCAAAACCTGTCACACTGAGTTCTCAGTTTTCCTACCTGTCAAAGCAAGATATATTCCAAGGTTTCCTTCCAGTCGTGGCAAGGCATGTCCTCCACCAACATCAGGGAAAAGTCCTGCAAGAGTGCACAACAGTAGCTATTATTAATTTATCAGGAGATACTAAATACAATTATTAAAGGTTAATATATGTTATTAGTAAATTTGTTAGAGAGTCAGAAGTCAGTCTATATGTACTAGGTTGATATTACTGGCAGTCAGAGGTAGGTTAAGCCAATAAGCTGTTAATTGGTTGTTGATAGGTAACAATATATCGATGGTTGGTTGATTGGTTGTTGGTAAGAACTCTGGATCTAAGGTTTTAATAATTCCTGTACTGCATATCCTAAATTTGTTGTCTGGTTTTCCAGGCCCTCTGTAAGATTAAGAATTTCGTAGACCATAGGCCCCACAGGCACCATAAATAATTAACATCAAGAATCACTCATGCGTGCATCATTAACTTGCAAGTAGTTTTCTTTTTCTTTTTGAATTTGTCCCTTTTTATGAAGCGCATTAATTGTAAATTGTTTGTTGTAGCGAATCGTACAATCTTCTGTGTAATTGTGCAATAATTGTCAAACTGGAGTTAATAAATATGCATGCTGGAGTCAATGTGTACGAAGGCTCGACTATTCACGTAGTTGGAGACTTCACCCTCTGTAAACCCTGTGAGTTAGCTGTACTCTGAATCAATTAGCTCAGCCCAGAGGTTGTTTTAGGGTATCAATAAATGAAAAAAGAAGAATATTTGAAGAATATTTACCAATAGCAGTCTCAGGCATAGCAAATAAGGTCTTTTCTGTAGCAACTCTAAAGTGACCATGAACAGAGAGTCCTACACCCTAAAAAATTCAAATCCTCAAAAATAAGAGTACCAAACTTTGGCCCTATCAAAGGAAAGAAAAACTTGAAACTTCATCATGAATCATAACTTTTCCTATTTATTTTAGATATTTCATTGTCTATAGTTCCATTCATTAATTTGCAATTTGATCATAAAGAGCACTGTAATTTATATAGAGGATATTACATGGGTGCACGGAGATGCAAATTTTATCTTCGAGCGTTCAATTGATATCTCATGAGTGAGCACAGCGAACAAGTGAGATATCTAAATTGAACAGGAGAAGATAAAGTTCATGTCTCCAAGCCTCCATGTAATGTTCTGTTTATTATATAGATATCGATGAAACYTAAATAAAACAAAAGCTCAAAAATTATTCATTAAAGTAGCAAGCCGATTTAACAGCGTTATCTTCACGTGTGAAAGATATGGTATCTTCCACTGGTGAAAGATATCAAGTTTTCGACACTAAAGAAAACCTGGTATTTCATCAATATCTATATAATAATATGCAGTATATATACAGTTGTATATATTAGGCATTAAGAAGACAACAAATACCTATAGACATAGACTATCTTAATCAGAAATAAGGAAGATGGTGCTTTATTTTAACCTACCCCACCCATAGTGATGCCATGAATTAAAGCAACATAAGGAGTTTGTAATGTACCTGTTAAGAAAATTAAAAAAAATTAACTTTATTAGAAAAGATTTGTAATTAAACAAAAATTAAATTAATTTTAATTAATTAAAATAAGGAATCTTAATATGGTGATGTTGGATGTACTTAGATGCATCAGACTGCCAGTGATGGTACAAATAGTCTCTCTACTCTATGTCATGGTACCTGATTACCCCTGATTACCCCTACCCCCCCCCCTCCCTAACCCCCCTGAGACCTGTACCCCCAAACCAGATCCACTTTTATAAATACAATTTATCTCACCAATAGCATAATTCAACATGTATTCCTCCTTGAAAAAATCCTTTGGTAAATTGCCTCCTCTTAGACCATCCTCTGCTATTGCTGTGTGATTGAATATAGACAAAAAGTCATAAAAGTTTTAGATGTTTTTGACAAGTGTTATCTTCAGAACATTTTCTGTACAGATTTTTTTCTTAGTCCACTCTCCATTACAATGACTGCTTACATATTTTTTTCTAAATTTTAAATCACTTTTTTGTAATTTTTCTAATCACTCAGTTTCCCTTGGTTAATGGGAGTCGATATATATATACTTGTACACTATCAGTCTCTTTCAGCACACTGCCTTTCTGCACAAGTTTGATATACAATAGAAAAAAAAATGTTTTGCTTCTTGTCATGGCTTCCATTACAGTACATGATAATGCAAAAAAGTTAAATTATTTATAAATACATGTATACATATAATTTCTTACCCCTAACGTCACCCCCTGCACAGAAAGCTTTGTCTCCAGTGGCCTTGATTATCACAAGATTAACTTTAGGGTCAGCTTCCCATGACTGAAGGAGAGATATTAAAAAATTAAAACATGAATGGAAAAGCACTATATCAGAGAATACATGTATATGCCTCCTTTACTTTTCTTATAATTTAAATGAATAAATGATTGAATAAATGATTGAAWGGATAGACAGATAGATAGATGGATGGATGGATGGGTGGATGGGTGGGTGGGTGAAGGGAGGAGGAGAGGGAGAATAGGAGGGAGAATAGGAGGGAGAATGGGAGGGATGGAGGGATGGAGTGATGGATGTATGGATGGATGGGTTGATGGATGGATGGATGAGTGATATATTTACATTAAAAGATAACTATTTTTTCTCTTCAACTCTTACCTTGAGAACAGGATATATTTTTCTGACCATGGAAAGATTTAGAGCATTGAGTGCTTTAGGTCTGTTGAGGGTGATAATTCCTGCCTGATCCTTAATCTCCATAAAAACATCTTCTATACTCTGTAAATACAGTAAGCAACAATTTAGTCTAATATAATATACCTTGCATGTCATGTAATAAATAAATAAGTAAAATTTTTTCCTGTCTGGTATTCTAAAAATTGTGTGTTCTGATTAGCTTCATGAGCAAACAGTATTTTCTTATCTCTGCCCTCAGTCTGGTATCCTGATGCAGGGCTTCAGTCATCCAAGCATGCGCATGGAAAACGGACTGTTAAACAACAAAACAAATTGCAAAACAAATGGGAAAATAAATGGAAAAAAATAAATGAGTTATTTACTGGCCTATAATAGGTCTGGATAGGGAAAAACTGTGCCAGTGGTCTTGAAAACGGGTCTCTTTCTATTAACTTTGGTCTGTATGTATTCAAGACCTCGGGCACAGTTAAATTTCCCTATCCAGACCTCCTGGCCGGTAAATCACATAATATRCAATGTATCTCACCTTTGTACTAGAGGCACTTGATGAAGACATTCTCTGAATCAAATCAATTAAAATTATACATTATTATACATAGGGCTTATAATGAACCACAAGTCAGTCTACTATCATGATGACTTGCCGAATCACTTTTGGGTCAGTCACATTTCATTTCTGGCTTAAAATCACTGCCAGGAATTTGACAAGGCGAAAAGAGGCTGGCAAGGCAAAGATTTTGGCCGAAACTTGAAGCTCCTATTGTGGCCAGATATTTTTCAATAACCCACCATTATTTTAAGCCCTGAACTCTACTAGTTAATAAAAGTTTACAAATAAGTTCAAATGTAGGAGTAAAATGTTTTGATTCATCTTTCTTTGGGCTGGGAAAATGGGATTTATGCACTGGAAATAGTATGAAATGAAAATATAGGCTGGGACTATGGGATTTGGTCAAAATATTTGGCTGGAAAATGAGGTTAGGGCCCCCACCTTAACGACCCTGGGCCCGCTTGTACGAAGCCTGGATAGCGCTATCCAGTGAATGAATCCTTATCTAGTGGATAAGTCGATGCTGTTTTCTAATAAATTTCTCCTATAGATAAGATTTATCCATTGGATAGCACTATCCAGGCTTCGTACAACCTGGCCAAGATCTCTAAAATATATGCATACTGACTGGTTTGGAGATGGTGGGTTTGTGGGTATGAAGAGCTAAAATATTACCTTTCAATGTGTAGTTCCAGAAAATATCCATACCCCACCTACGGAGGAAATTAGAAATTCTGGAGTGGGAGGGGGGTTAGAGAAAGAACAAAATTACAGAGTTTTAATGGAAGAAAATTGAAAGTTCCTTGGGGTAGGGGGGTCTTTTTACAAATTTTCTGTGGTGTGGGTATGGATATTTTCTGGAATTACACATATATTATTTTCTCTCATTATTTTCTCTCTCTAAGCCAAACAACGAAAAGCAAAAGATTTTAATAATTCCTCATTTCAAGCATAACGATTCTGATAATAGTAAATCTAGATCTGGTCAACAAGCAAATTATGCAATTTATTATGAGCAAAGGGTTCCCACACTGAGTTTATTAAACTCTATTGGATGTTCGGCTAGAAGCTTACTTACCAGATGTTGCGCCAATGTCGCCACACGACAGGACACAATGTTAACCCTGTAGTAAAATATCAAAAATATAAATCAGGAATTTTATCTAAACATTTATAGGTCATAATTAAATTCTAGTACGTGAATAATATAGACGCTGCTTCCTGAAGCAGGTGGCCGGTTCTCCGGAGACCGTCGACGCAGGCATTTGAAGTGCTAAAAGCGACTCAGAACTCAGTCTAATAAGCTCCCTTACCTGTTAAATAATCGCAAAGGATACATTTGTCCGAGGAAATGATGGAAAATATCACTAAGAATCAAAACGATTCCAAACGATTCACAAACTGCACACGTGAAAATCTGCAAGATTGCTATAGTACCTGGCCTGGCACAGGAAACCCAGTATATATTGTGTATAGCATGTTTTTTGCTTATCAATGTCTCGTGTGTAAATCAATTTATTTTTACTGCGGTTTCCGATATTCTGCAAACTCGGGCATTTTAACGGCTTGTTATGAAATGTTTTTTTTTTTACTGCCAGTCAAGAAAATAAAAGGTACCGACTGATTATYTTTGATTGACGGCAGCGAAGAACCAAATTTCAGCGTACAGCTCGCAAGTACTATACTACAGTTCGCAGAATATTAAAAAAACCACAGTAAACTTTATCCCGTATTGACTTGGCTCGCATCCCCCCCCCTCCCACACACACTTACCAGCTTTCATGATAATAGCGCAGTTTTGTCCTGAAAAAGTACACGCAAAATCTGCAGAATGTGGATTTAATTAACTAAACCTGACATTGTGTTGGATTTCTGTAGTTATCTTTCATTTTCAAGTAAAACCAACAAAAAAAACCTTCAAATGTCGATCATGGAGAACTTTGTGGCAGGATTTTTCAGGAACAAAACTAGTCCTGTGGGGTGGCTGGTGGTGGTTGGTGTACATGTGATTGAAAATTCTTTACTTTATCAGATGCTGCAATGGTTTCATTTCCGACGCACAGCGACTCGACGCTTACTTTTGCCAATTGTTGCCTTGTTATATGTTTCAACCGCTTAATGACTGTTAATGGACTTGAGATCTTTTACCAGTTTAATACATTCTCACCTCCTCTGAGCATCCTCAACTGCTGCAGTTTGTGTCAAAAGCTTTACTT